CCAAAAAATGATGGGTGGTTCGGGAGCCTCTATAATGAGGACTGCGCACTGTATTGGGGTCTATGTTGGCCCCCCCCCCCCCATTTTGCAGAAGCTCTCCCGAACATCGAGGCGAGGTGTTGCAACATTCATTAAGCCATCATGAAAACACACCAGCACTGGCGGAAGATTCGGAATGTGGGCTCGTGCTTTCATGTTTTCAATTGCTAAACATGTGTTAAGCGAATGCTTGTTTCCACTGGCGAGCACAGGCCTGCATCCCGCAGCATTCTGAACCTTAAACCCTAAGTCCTAACCCCTAAGCCCTAAATCCTAACCCCTAAACCCTGAATCCTAACCCCTAACAGGCACAGCGCTTCGATCCTATCCGGAGGCAGTGGGAGTGTGGCGGGCCCCAGGCTTCACCTGCGCATTGCGACGTGAGGGAACCATTGAACGATTTAGGGTTCAGGGTTTAGGGCTTAAAGTTTAGGGTTCAAGGTTCAGGGTTCAGGGAGTTTAGGTTTTAGGATTTAAGGTTGCAGGCCCAGGGTTATAGTATATAGGCTACTACCGTGGCTATTTGGGAGGTCTAGGAAGGTATTTTTCTCTGATGTTGGTGAGTTTTGCACAGGGGTCCCCAGGAACTTGTGTTTCTCCAAACCTCAAAGGGTCCCGTTTTGAGAGCCCTTAATTATATTACAACACGAGCACTGTGATATACTGGGGTCTTCAGTATCTTAAGTGGAGCCCTTTGCCGCAGAAACCCTCATATGGGTGAGTGTAATGTGGGTGAAAAGCTATCAGTTATGTGAGGGAAGGTGTTTCTGAGGTTCTGGTGAGTATATACATTATATGCTTAGAAGAAGAAATGCATAGGCCATAGACGAGCTTGCAAGCAGGGTGTTTCTCCTCTAGAGATGACCCAAAAAAAGTCCCCGGATGCTAATGAGCTCACTGGGCTCGAATTTTGTCGCGCAGACCCTAAACCTTGAACCCTAAACCCTAAACTGATCTGCCAGGATCCTGTGGTAGCCTCCGCAGCCCAATGAATTCCGGTTGGCACTGAACAAATCAATTAAAACATGTGTTTTCCGAGGCTTCGCCCCCCCGAAGTATGGTTGGACTCATCCTCTGCTTTTCTGCAATGAAACGGCTCCTAGTGGTAATTCCTGAAAGCACATTCTCCCTCAAGCTTGTTCCTAACAGCAGGTGCCTATTTGCAGGAAGCAGGGGTTCCGCACTGCCTGATTTGGTATAGTAAGTTCATTGGGCATAGGATAGGCGGCTCCTGGATAGGCAGCTCTTCAAAAAGCAACAAGACTTTCAGGGAAGTTCCTATGATAGAAAGGATAATATGGCCTCTTTTGCAAGGATCAAGCCACAAATCTGTAGAGAGCTCATTGCTCCGCAGTCTGTACTCATGGATTCTACTGTAGATACTTCTTGCCGAGAGTCAAGAGTTTGTATCCATGCCCTGGCCCACCCTACGCAAGCCCTGAACCCAAAAAGTCCTAAATCCGAAGCCCACAATCCTCAACCCCCAGCCAGGCCCTGAGTCCTAAATCCTCTTACCTAAGCTCTACACCGTGAGATCTAAATCCTCCACCCTAAACCCTCAGCCGTAAATCCTAAATCCCAAATTCTTCATGCTACATCCTAGACCTCAGGCCTTAAGAATCCTAAACCCTAAATCCTAAACCATGGCCGGTTCGCCATCACACCCAGGCCTAGAACCTATGCCCACACCCCGCTTCGAATGCCAAGGGCCTGGCCGAGGGGTTTTGGGTTTAGGGGTTCGCTGGGGCTTTCAGGGGTTTAGGCTTAAGGGTCCATGCGGTCAAGAGCTTTGGAGTTTGGGATAAGGCCCAGCGGCTCAGGGGTGTTAGAGTTCCGAATTAAGGGTTCAGGGAACCCTAAGCCCAAAATGGTTGCTTAAGGGCCTACCTGGAGATCCTAGTTGACTATAATTATGGTACACTGTTGTAGGAATTTAGTATAAAGTTGANNTAGTCAACTGGATCTCAAGGTAGGTTTTTTGTTATGGCCGTTTGTTCTGCAAATGGGCGCTTGGGCTCCGCCTCGAGATCGGGATTCCGAACCATGGGGGCTACGCGGTTTAGGGTTTAGGGTTTAGGGTTTTGGGGGTTTCCTAAAATTAGGGGTACCATTTTAAGGGTCCCAAGAATAAGGACTGTAGTATTTTGGGGTCTATACTGGGGTTCCCTTATTTTGGGAAACTACCACATATCGGCAGTGTGGTCCTAGCATACCATTAAAGGGGTTTGGGGATTAGGTTGGGTACTGCCCCCCCTCAGTAGCAGTTGGATAATACTTATAGTATGGTTATATACGGCCCTTAATAGGACCCATAATATAGAGGCAGTACCCAAGGTTCAGGGTTTAGGAAGGGGGTGCGGTCTGGGAAGTATCTGCGGGCATTGACCTCATGCGGGTGCACACCTCGTCCTCTTCCCTGAGTGTGCTGGCAAAGACGGGCTTAGGGTATAGGGCTTATGTGTCCATACCTCCACGTTTGGGGGACTACATTGTAAGGCTTGTGAAGATACGCATGGTTTAGGGGCCTACTGAATCAGAATAGTTGGCTTTAGGGACTTGGAAACATGGAAAAGAAAATGGCAGCTACTGTGCTGTTTAGGCTTCGTTCTTGAGGGTCCTAAGCAATCAGAATAAGGGAGAATCAAAAAGGACGATGAACCGGAAACTGGGGTTGTACAGTAGCTTACAGGTGTTTATGTTAGGTCAACCCCCCCTATAGTAATAGCGCCTTCATGTGGATTTATTAGGGCCTTGATATACCTACAGTTGTCCCTTGTGGTACCCATTGCTGGATGGGGGATTGACCCACTGTTTAGGGTATTAGGGAGTTCGGGGTTAAGGTTTCCCAGGTTGCAGATTTCAGAATTTGGAATTCTGGGGAATCCGTATTGTATATTATCAGGTATACTAGTGGGAGGAAGGGATTTAATCCTGAATTGCAGGTCAAATTGCGCTTATAATAGCACTTCACATAGAAGAGCGACCCCCCAGAATCTTTTGATAATCCCCTCGCACTGCCTGAATTCTGCAAAACTCCCATGTCCGCTCCTGTCCGCTCCGTGCTGAGGCACCGCCGTGGCGAGCAAGGGGAGAATCTTTGTCGGGAGCCAAGCCATTGCCAGGAAGGTAGGCTTCAGGGTTCAGGGTTTTCAAGATTTACGGTATAGGGTGGGTATAGGGTTCAGGGCTTGTAATCCAAATCTGATTGGTACATTTATCAGTTATAGCTTTTAACCATATCGACGGGGCTTTTATCATTGTATGACACATACTCTTCATTTTGAATGGGTTAATTGCCCTGAGCCTCCAACTAGGTTTCATAGATTGTGGCCTGGGCAAGGAAGAAACCAAATCCTAGCCAAGACACGTCCTACACTGCTAGCATTCCTAATTTTAATGATGCTAGCGTTGGCTACTCTACTTTGGTGTTTTGGAGCCGGTTGGGTCAAGAGTTTGGGGTGTAGGGCCAGGGATGCGAAAAGTACACCCTAAACCCATTTAGATCCTAAAGCCAGTTCAGGGCTCAAGGTTTTTGTGTGGAGGATTGGGCCCCCGCGGTGCGAATATGTCAGAGTAGGAGGTCGGAAATACGTAGGATTTAGATCCCCCAACTAGATCTTGGGTATCTAGGGTGTAGGGTAGGTAGGCTTTAGGGTTTAGGGTTGGGTACTGCCCCCACCCAGGCTGAGTCCTAAACCCCAAACCCTAGACGACAATGGTGCTCAGGGTTCGGAGAGGCAAGATGGTCCTTCCAGTCAGGATTGTGGTGCCACAGAACATTTTCTGGAATCCTTCCTAATTTTAAGCCCCCCCATCCCCCCTAATATGAAATATTCCACTCTGTGACATATCAAAATTTATGGAGAATGTGTAATGTTATCTGGGATGAGGGGATTTAATATTAGGTGAAGGGAGTAGAAGAAGTCTGAGTCCTAGCCGGGAACCCAAACAGAGCATTAGGGTTTAGGGAATCAGGGCTTTTAGGGTACTAATCTGCTTCCTGTTTAGAAGTTCGCCCGACCCAGGAAGTCGTGTAGATATGCCTTTTAAAACATCTGGCAATCACCGGTGTGGAGACCCTTCTTCGCCTTAGGAATCGCCAGAAGCGCTGTGACTGTTCAAAACCCCCCTCCATGATGTTCGAAGCCCCTGCAAAGCGTACACAAACTCCAGGGTTGATGATGATCTCTCGTGATCCCGGATGGGTTGGGAGGAGTTCGATTTAGGGTTTGCTCTTGTGGTGACCGTTTTCCGTCTATCTGCACATGACGGAAGACCGTGTAAAAGAGAAACATACCAAACACGTTTGTAATTTGTCATGGGACCAAATGGGCACTAACAGATGTTCATGGCCCCTATACTAGCCTAAGTGACCATCATACTGGTGGTCCCCCGAAATTGCTCAGAAGTGCTTCCCCTGCACACTTACCTCCCAAACTCTAGACTCTAGACCCCGACACCCAAACTCTTCAAGCCGAAGCCACAACCCAGCGGTTTAGGGTTTAGGGTTTGGGGAAGACTAAACACAAACAGCCCTAAAACCCCGAAACCCGCCCCCAGCACTGAACCCTACAGCCTCAATTTGATGATGCCGCTAAGCCCCCTGTCTCCATGACCCAGTCACCTCTACTTGGTTTAAGGTTTAGGGGTGAACCCCTTCAGTTTTTGGATAGAGGGCCCTTGCAATTTAACTCCCTATCCGTAGCAAGCATAGTAGTCCCTATCCTCTCTAGAACCCGCTACTCGGAGGCTCAGAGAGACTAAGTAAGTAGGTCAATAATTAGGATAGCTTGGGTTGCTATGTGGGTTCTAACGGCTATTAACCTACTGGCTAAGTTCCCCGGACCCTCCAAGTATGACATCCTGCATGGGGTTTAGGATTGAAGGCAAGGGTTTTCTGCGTCCGCCATCGAAGCAGAATTGTTCAAGTCCCTTCCATTTGCTTCTCTGCTCCGGGGGATAATATCCTTGAACCCACTCCAAGAAATACGACTTTCACAGCCCTTTTTTAGTAGTTCCCATTTCATTTGCCATGTTATTGTCACTCTCCATTATCAGTAGTAGCATATTGCTGCCTGAGGTTCTCGGGGGGTCGAACATCTGCGGGGAACCTCTGGGCGTGGTTGAGTGCAGCTGCCCCTGCGAAGTATTCTAGGAGTTTGTCCAAATCGGGCTGCGCTTGCAGTTAGAACAGGGCGTCGGAGGGTCGGGGTGGAGGATTCTTCTGCCAAGAACATATGAGCCATAGTCTAAACTCCTAGTATCCCCCTGAGTAACCCTTAGAATAGGCCCCTATATACTCCCCCTTTGAGGAGTTTAGACTATAGCTCATATCGATTGGGAAC